AGTGGGAGTAGTCTTATTTTCCTTATTATTTAAGCAAGCAAGCATTTACAGAAGCCAAATAGCAGGGTTAAAATTTCAAACAGCAGTTTTTATATAAGATAGATGCTTTAGTTTAATTGTTAGATCCTCTGTGAAGCCCAACAGTTCTCTTTTTCTTTTTGTTCTTTTGAGGTAAATTTTACATACAATTAAATGCACATATCTTGAGTGAACTATTAGGTGAGTTCCTACATACACTTCTACTTGTGCCTCCCAGAACCCTATTAAGCTATGCTCATATCTTTTTATACGTTTGTAATTGACTACTGATATGGTTAATCATTTTCATGTGTGTCTGCCTTATGAAATTATGAGCTCCAATTAGAAGAGGGAAAAGGCAAGGATTACCTACTGTTTGTTCAGCAATGAACCAGTCTTGAATATTGTACCAATTAGGGTACATCTCAGCTCCTCTCTTAAGAGACCCCCAAACACAGTGGCTTAAGACAGAAATTTTATTTCATTTGTATATTCCAATTGAAAGTAGAAGACACTCAGAGCTGATCTGGCAGTCCCACAGTGTCAAAAACCTAAGCATCTTCATTCTTGTTCCACCATCTGTTTTGTTTAACCATCCCTGAAGTGTTGCCCTCACCACAGGATCTTGTTGACTCACCTCAATATTTCATCCAGCTAGAATATATATATGTTTTAAGTTGCAGCTAGAGGTGCCTTCACGAGAATAGGTTTCATGTTTGTTTTGTTCTCACTGGATCAGTGGTGTCCAACAAAGCTCTGATCATAGTTGGTACTCAGTAATTGTTGTATTGAATGAACATCCACCGTAGCACTTCACGAGTGGTGTCCAACAAAGCTCTGATCATAGTTGGTACTCAGTAAATGTTGTATTGAATGAACATCCACCGTAGCACTCTCGGAGAATGCTTTGCAACAGGTTTGAATGAAAGTCTTTTAACTAAAGATTTGTAACTGTAGGCAAGTACTTCAATTGCACCGAGCCTTATCAGTGGAAATATGAATAATAGGAAATGATGACTTGGTGAAAAAACCTTGTGAAAGGAACCCAACTCTTAAGGTAGTGCCCCTTCTGAAGCCCCTTGCTGCACCTGACACAGTGCTTTACATGTTGTAAGCAAGCAAATAGTTTAGTTTTTGTAATTGAATTCAGTAATAATGGATGTATTTTATTAAAATAAAAATTTGTCCCAGCAGTTGGCAAACTTTTGTTGGAGTTGGGCAACTTTACCAAGGGAAGATTATCTCCCTTGTACAGGCTGCCTCTCCTAGCCTAGGACAGTTTCGTTATTGAACCAAGAATCAGTGAAGGAGGAAGCAACTTGCTGCCCAGGGATCATCTTGGTACTTCCTCCTGGGTGGCATGTGCTGAACCTGGGAAGCAGAACAAGAACTGACTGCCCCCCATTTTCCTTCTGGCAGGAACCACCCAGAGGAAAGAAGGAATTCCTGATGGAGGTGAGTGGGTTGAAACTACCTGGCCTCTGGAGAAGTAGGAAAGAGGGAGCACTTTTCCTAGTGTGTGATGGAAAGAAACCAGCAAACCAAGCCCAGAAATAAAGAAATTACTATGGAAGGCTTTCTTAAAAATATATTTAAACCATAAGTAGCAGAGTGTTTCCAAGACAGAGATTACTCTAGCTTGGACTTCCTGGGTTTGGGCTGTAAGAATGGCCATAGGATTTGGGTTTGAGCATGTTTACTATAAATAAAGCCATTTCCCAAGAGTCTGTGCAGGAGACACACCAAAATGTAATTGAAATGTGACTGCTTCTTAAATTATGAAATAAAATTTACATTTAACAAATGCTTTCAAAAATAGAGGAACAAGTGGCTTTAAAGTTCAAAGTGTTACTATTTGAAATCTGTCCAGTTTAATTATCTGGGTCCCAGTGACTGATTCCTTTTTCTCTGGTCAGTGTCACTGATCTAACACCCAATTCTCTTCTTGGTTGTGAGATAGGAATTCAATGTATCATTTATTTAGTTGTATTGACCTGAATCATATCTACCCAGCATACATTCTTATTTCAAGAAATAGAATACATCCATGTGGAATTTACTCAGTAACTCATTGACATTTTTATGATCTAATTCAAGGACCTGAATTGAAGGCTCCACATGATTTACTTACATATGATGCAACTATTTTTAATTCTGCATTTACATTTTTAAAAACAAGAATGCACCTTCTTGATGGAACAGACATGCTTTTTAGACTTGCAGATTCAAGAACTGTAGAACAAAGTAGTTTCTTAGAAATCGATTCCAAATATCTTTTTTATATTAGAGAGGAAAAAACTTGGGTACAAAAAGATTTAATGGCCCTAAACTAAGGTCAGAGGTCAGATAGTGATAGAACAAAACAAGACTAGATGAGTTACCAATTCAGGGCTCTTGTTTGTCCCAGATTTTAAAATATGGGAGAAGCTTTGGCCAGTGTGGCTCAGTTGGTTGAGCATCATCCCATGTTCCAAAAAGGTCTCTGGTCCGATTCCCGGTCAGGGCACATAATCAGGTTGTGGGTTCAATCCTCGGTCTAGATGCATCCTGCATACAGAGGCAACCAATGGAGGTTTCTCTCTCTCTCCAGAGTCAATCTAAAAAACATTTAAATCTATATGGATGAGATTTACATTGACAATTTGTACTGATATGTGTGGCTTCTTAAGACAGTGATACAATAACTTAAAACCTCTATTTTCTATATTAGCGTATTGCAGTATATTATACTCCCTGTAGCTACCTAACCCATATATTTCTTTTCCTGATTATATGCTTATTTGTAATCTCCTGTGTAAGCTGCCTTAAATCCTCATTTGATTGATTTAGTAGATAAATGAAGTATTCAAACTGTATTAATTGTATTAATACTATTGATAATTACTTATGTTTCCATCATGACTATGGCATGTCAGAAATCCTGGCAATGTTGATTATTCTAACAGTATTTCATCTTTTCCATCTATCAGAAGTAGCAATAGAAACAAAATTTTCAAGGTTTATCCATGCTTTAACAATAAAAAATATATATTGATACCTTAATCAATAAAGAAATTATATATATATATATATATATATATATATACACACACACACACACACACACACACACACACACTGGTGTGTTTTATATTATATGAATTATACCTTAATGTAAAATAGTAAATTAAAAGAATTATACCCAAAGATAAAATGAAAGACATTATGAAAGATTAGAAACTGATATTGTGAAGAATTTTTAATATTAAAGAAGCTAAAAATTAGCAAAGGACCTAAATAGACACTTTTCAAAAGTGGACATACAGAAGGCCAAGAGATGTATGAAAACATGCTCAAAGTCACTAATCATTCAAGAGATGCAAATCAAAACAACAGTGAGGTACCGCTCACAGCTGTCAGAATGGCTGTCATCAACAAATCAACAAATGACAAGTGCTGTCAAGGATGTGGAGAAAAGGAAACCCTCGTGCACTGCTGGTGGGAATGCAGACTGGTGCAGCCACTGTGAAAAACAGTGGAGTATGAAGTTTCCTCAAAAAATTAAAAATGAAACTCCCATTTGACCCGGTAATCCCACTTCTAGGAATATATCTCAAGAAATCAGAAACACCAATCAGAAAGAATATATGCACCCTATGTTGTGCATTTCTGTAAAGTATTAATAGATAATTAACAATAGCTAAGATTTGAAAACAGCCTAAGTGTCCATCCACAGGTGAGTGGATTAAAAAACAGTGGTACATCTACACAAAGGAATACTACACTGCTGTTAAAAAGAAAGAACTCTTACTATTTGCAACAGCATGGATGAACCAGGAGAGCATTATGCTAAGCAAAATAAGCCAGTCGGAGAAAAATAAACATCTCTCACTCAACATAAATTGATGAACAAAAATAGAAATGGAAGCATTGAACAGACCATCAAACCTCAGAGGGAAGGCCTGGCGGGGTGGGGGTAAGAGATCAACCGAAAAACTTCTATATAACCAATGGACACACACAGTAGGGGGTGAGGGCATGTGCTGAGTGGTGGGAGTGGCTGGGAAGAGGTCAATGGGGGTGGAAAGGAGACATGTAATACTTTAAAAAAATAAAGAGTTTAAATTTTAAATAGAAGCTAAATAATTTGGTACTCCCAATACCTCCTATAACTGATAGAGAATGTTGTCTACTCTGTGGCTTTCACCGGGTTAAAAGAAAGGTCCTGTGGTATGGTTTTTACAGCTGGACAGGAGGAATCAGTTATTGGATGACTCTCTGCTCAGAGCTAAGGAATGTGGTTAGAGATGTTATATAAATTGAGATGATAAAACCAAATTACTGTACTTCCACTGAGAAAGTTACCTGTAGTTCAGGAACAGCAGGGAGGTTGGAAAACAAATATGGAGTGGGGGCAATACTTGAAGGAATGTGATTTTTCTTTTTAAATATACAATCCAACAGCAGCTCTCCCTAGATTTTTGTGCTAAAATAAAAGCATTTTCACACATCTTAATTGCTCTGTGATAACAACAGTGTGAACTTCAACCACAAACATTTATTGTGTATTTAATTTTGCTCTTATTTCAGTGTAGCAAGAAATCACCTTGTAAGTGGGAGTAACTGTCCATTTAGAAAAAAGAAATCTTTTCCCATGTTGTTAATTCGTTTGTGCATTTCTATAAAGTATTAATAACACAATGGCCTTTTATATTTCTCCATTTTTAGGTTGCACTTCACTATTTTCAAAGTAGTATCTTTATCAACTGGAACCACGTTTGCTTCTTAAACATTAGTAAAGAATATTTTTTAAAATGTAGAAGTTAAGGTTTCACAGTATTTCTTATTAGAATTTAAGATGAGATTTTTATGCCTTTATAAACCTTTAAAGTACTTGATGCTATTATGTTCATAATAAATTATATAGAACTGTCTTTAAAAATGCATTTTTAAAATGAGATTTATCTAACTTAATAGCAATAATTGTTCTGGTTATTTTCCAGACCTGTCATTTACTCCATCCTCTATAGGGATGCTACAGGACAGAGAGGAATGGATAAAAACATTGGTGAGCAACTCAATAAAGCTTATGAAGCCTTCCGACAGGCATGTATGGATAGAGATTCTGCAATTAAAGAACTACAGCAAAAGGTATATGGTTTTGGTTTTCAAAGTTATTTATCCTGGTAAATGGAATTTGAGAGTCTTTTGCTACAGAAAAAATATTATATTGTTAGAAACTATCCTGAAGAACTATAATTACTGAAACATGGGCCTATATTAATGGATATAATCTGAGATTTTTATGTGACCTGTGGGAAGAGTTCATTTAAAGGTGATTGTATAAAGAAAATATTACAAATGGTCTTTCATAAAATTTTTTTCAATTACTGTTAACATTCAATATTTTATATTAGTTTCATAGTTTTTCCATAAAATGACAAATTGAAAGAAGTATCACTGTCTTAGTTTTGTGTTTTGATTTTATACATTGTTTGTTTTATATATTTTTGTTTATTTCAGAGAGCAAAGGAAAGGCAGAGAGAGAAACGTCAGTGATGACAGAGAATCATTGATTGGCTGCCTCCTGTATCCCCCACACTGGGGATTGAGCCCTCAGCCCAAGCATGTGCCCTGACCAGGAATGGAACCATGACCTCACTGGGTCAGTGCTCAACCACTGAGCCATCCTGGCTGGGCATGTTTTGTTTTGTTTTTACATTGTTATTTGGCAAGTAGGAAGACAGTACAAATTTTTAAGTATCCTAGATCTAATTTGTTACTAATTTATAATAGTCTTCCATCGTTAACTCTTAACAGAAAAATAGACTATCTCAGTGAAATATTTAAGGTCTTACCAGAAGTTTCAGCTTTGTAAAATTACCTCTATACATAGTGTGATCTTATGATTCCTAAAAGAAGCTGTGAAGGTATAATAGGGCCCAGTCATATTAATATATGTCTAAGTAGTTTGTACTTTATTCTTATTCAGTCAGAATTTACTAAGGACTAATATATGCTTTAGAAAAGTCTAGTATATAGTTATATAAAAGATAGGATAGAAAACAATATGGAATTCAATCAATGCTAAGCAATGTTCTAAGAGCCAGGAATTTAAAAGTAAATGGCAACCATCAAGTTGAACTTTATGAACTTTTAATATATAATTACATTATACTTCTGTTTTTAAAAGAAAAAAATGAGTGACATCCATTTCAAGCAATCAAAATAAGTAATTAAATTAAGTATTAGGAAATCTAAGAGATCTAAGATTTATGTAGGAGATAGAATGGAAAGCAGGTGGCACCTGAATGCAGGCTCATTCTAAGGGTGACAGCCTGGATTCTAGAATGATAACCAAATATCTGGAGTAGAAACTGGGTTAATGATGGTGCTGATAACTGAAACCAAGAATGAGACAAGGTGCAAATTTGGAGATAGAGAAATAAGATGTGTAATTCGATTTTAGTCATTAGGTTTAGTTACCTATGGGGCATGCAGGTGGAGTGTTTAGTGGATGTTTACAAATCCGGATCTAGAGCCTGTGTAGAGTTCTGAATTGAAGATTGCAAATGCAGATTACAGAATAACAGGTTTGCCCTAGCCGGCTTGGCTCAGTGGATAGAGTGTCAACCTGCGGACTGAAGGGCCTCCGGGTTTAGTACTGATCAAGGGCATATGCTGGGTTGCAGGCTCGATCCCCAGTAGGGGGCTTGCAGGAGGCAGCCAATCAATGATTCTTTGTCATCACTGAAGATTCTACCTCTCTCCCTTTCTCCCTTCCTCTCTGAAATCAATAAAAATATAAAAAATAAATAAAAATAAAATAAAATAACAGGCTTTATTATAGCCTTGAATGTGGATAACATTTCTTAGAGTGTTTAGGGTGAGGAAATAGTTGAAGGATCAAAAGGTAAGAGGAAGGAAATGAGGCCAACCTATTGGTCAGTAATAGGTCGCAGGGGTCTTCAAACTACGGCCCGCGGGCCACATGCAGCCCGCAGAGGAGTCTGATCCGGCCCGCCAGGTTTTTTGGGCAGTGAGCGCAGCCGAGGTGTTACAGTAGGAATTAGTAGTTCATATAGTCCGGCCCTCCAGCTCTCTGAGGGACCGTGATCTGGCCCCCACTTTAAAAAGTTTGAGGACGCCTGGTTAAGGAATTTACTGTGAACAAGAGAAACATCTATTCCTCTGAGAACTAGAGGGAACAAAAGGGAAAGAAATAGCTGTAAATGAAAATAAACTGATGAACCAAAAGATAGATATAGAGACAGTAAAGCAACAAGCAGACTGTCAAATAACAGTGGAGAGGGGAGGAAGCTCTGGGGGAGATAATACAATAGATCAACCAAAGGACTTGTATACATGCATATAAGTACAACCAATGGACATAAAACTCTGGGGAGGAAGGGTACGTGTGAGGGAGGGAGGGGGGCAAAAAAAGATCAATAAAATATATTAAAAAAGAGAAAAGAAAAGAAAAGAAGTTTGCAGATAAGAGGGAGTAGTGGCCAGAAATTAGAAGGGTTATCATGTACCACTTATATGTAAAATCTGAAAAAGTCATACTTATAAAAAAAAAACACACAACAGTTATATGGTGGTAACCAGGGGATGGCGGGGGGGGGGGGGGGGGAGGGGGGGGCGGGGGGGCGAAGATTGATGGTGTTTAAGGTTAAATGGTAAATAAGGGTACAAACAAGTAATAAATAAGACAGAGATCTAATGAACAATAAAATGAATATAGACAATAACATTTTGCTATAATTATGTAATGTGATAACACTACAATGTTTATTATAATATATACATGTATCAAAATAACATGCTATTCACCTTAAACTTGCACAGAGTAACACATCAGATTTATCACTAAATTCATCTGAGCCTTCAGTAAGTCATAATCTTTTCGCTGGTAGAGGATCTTGGCTCAATGCTGATGAAAAGGAAATATCTATGAATCACAATAACTTTGATCAAATTGCTAAAAACACTCAAGCTGCCAAGACTAAATCATGAAAAATAAAAAAACTAAGAGATTGAAACAGTAATCAAAAAGTTCCCAACAAAGAAAGTCCAGGACCTAGATGTTTCTCTGATGAATTCTACTAAACCTTTAAATAAGAATTAATACCAATCCTTTTCAAATTCTCCAAAAAAAATTGATTAGGATAGAACACTTCCTAACTCATTCTTTGAGCCAGCATTACCCTGATACCAAAGCCAAATAAAACCAGTACAAGAAAAGAGAACTAAACTAATATCCTTTACAGGTGTTGATGTAAAAATCCTCAACAAAATACTAGCAAACCTAATTCAGCAGCATATATTACAAACATTACATATCTTGACCAAATCAGATTTATTCCTGTAATGCAAGGATGGTTAACATACAAAATCAGTCAAGGTAATACCATCTTAACAGAATTTTTGGATGAACAAAATGCTATATATACATATAATACAATCAAATATTATTCAGCCTTTAAAAGGAAGTAAGTCTGACACATGGTACAAAATATGTACCTTTCAGATATTATGTTAAGTGAAATAAGACTCACAACAAAAGATGATTCTACTTTTCTGAGATACTGAGAGTAATCTAATCCATAGAGACAGAAAATATGGTAGTCTCTAGAGTAGGGGTGTCGAACTCAATCAGAGAAGGGGCCAAAATCTAAAATCCAGCCTAACTTGCAGGCCGAATGATTTACTGAACAGTCATAAACTGTCATTGTGATGGAAACGCAGCGGAGTGCAGTGATGACAGCGCGGTGCGGGCCACATTGCAAGGCCTGGCGGGACGGATTTGGCCCGCGGGCCTTGTGTTTGACACATGTGCTCTAGAGGCTAGGGGAAGAGAATGGAGAGTTAGTGTTTAACAGGTACAGAGGGCTCTGAGCTCTAGACTCAACTATCTCATTTCCATTTGGAAGGCACATTAAATTGATGTCAGACCTGAACTTACATACCCATTCTTTTTTCTCATTTGTACCATTTCAAAGGAGTGAAGAGTTTTATAAGTTGCCTTTCTATGTATCCTAAATTACCTCACTTAAGTTTTAAAGGATGATCTCTCACACTACTATTGATCATCAAGTATATTTATGACTCCTAAATACTGTTTTTCTCTTTTCTATACCATTAGGCATTAAAAAAAAAAATAGTACCTATAAAAAGGCATTTTATGCTTTCATGCAATCATTTTAAAACATGTTTTACAAACTTTTAGAGGTTTATGTTATTTTTTAATCCCTTTTACTTAAGATGTAAATTATCTCATTGTTTACCACCCTTTTTTCCTTTCTGTGTTCCCAAAAAACATATTTCTCTGTGTAAAGTATTGGTGGGAACAGAACAGTTCACTCTGTTTTTTCTCCTGAAATTACTGATATTAGAATAAGCGTGCTTCTGGCTGTTTCTAATCAATGCCTTACTTCTTCTATTGCACTGTTAGTGCTTTGCCATAGACTCATTTGCACCTATCAGAATTTAAAATGTATCTTTTGTTCCAGGTTTTCATTTCCAGAAATATGCCCTGTCAAAACTTTTAGACAGTTATGCTAGGTTCAAGAAAATCCATTAATAATTAGAAAAATTAAAATTCTGATATTTATTCAAAACTATTTTGAGCACTTTACTCAATATAACAGGAACTGCTCTAAGTATTGGGTCTGCAATGAGAAGCAGACATGTTCCCTACATTGTGGAATGTTGGCACAGTCTAGCAAAGCAGAGACTAGTTCAGTGTTTTTCAACCTTTTTTGGGCAAAGGCACACTTGTTTCATGAAAAAAATCACGAGGCACACCACCATTAGAAAATGTTAAAAAATTTAACTCTGTGCCTATATTGACTATATATAAAGTAATTCTCTTGAATAGGAATCAAATAAACACAAAGAAAGTATTTTATAATTACTTTATTATGAAATATTAAGTAAACAAAATAGTGAAAAATTATAAAATTCTTGTCTTGTCTGCACCTACGGCACACCAGGCAACATTGTGCTGCGGAACAGCGGTTGAAAAACGCTGGACTAGTCAAACAATCTCAGAAATGTAAAGATTCAACGTCTGATAAGTATCAGGAAGAAAGGTAAACTGCTATTAGAATGTCTACTTCACCTAATCTAAGAGATCAGAGAAGATA